ATGAATATATATGTTCACATGGAGTATAAATAATAATAGTTGTTTTCTTTGTTGGGTTTTGGTTGTGTTATGAATATATGTTTTCGTTGACATGGATTTCAAAAATCTTATGTATATCTATANTATTTTGAGAATCTTGGTGTATGAGTAAAATTGAAGAGATTCCATCTCCCAATAACATTAGATTTTAATAGAATTGAANAATCAATGAAACATAAANTTTTTGAATAACAAGGGATTTTAAAAGGAATGTAAGAATTCATCAACAAATAACAATGAATTTTATTAAGAATTAAAGAATCCATCAACCAATAACAATAGAATCTACAAATTCTCAAAATCTTTAAAAATCCATCTACCAATAATAACCTCCCCTAAATTGGGATTGGACCATCGTGTTTTCATGACTTGGTCTTTCCGAAAACATTTTTCTTTTAATATCTCTGTTAGTGCCTAATGTGTCTTTAGATCGTCGGAAAGAAGTGAAATCCTCACTATCGAAAAAAGAGATACAATTGAGATAACAAACCAATTGTTCTTATTTTTTTGGATATTGCATTTGCATACGGATCTTAACTAAACTTTACCAAGTTTATCGATTTCTTGCTAAATTTTTGGTATTTGCCGATGAGATACAAACGGTTTTGTTGCAATTACCAACAATATTGGTTATTCCGTCATTAAATCATCTTTGTTTATTTTTTATTTTTGTCGGCAAATCATCTTTGTATTATTGCAAGAACTTTGGATATAATTTTAGGAAACAAGTTTAGATATATCTAGTCAAACTTCCTTCATTTAGATATAATTCATATTTTAAAACTAAAATTTTTAATAAAAAGGAAACCAATTAATAATACGTAGAATGTACATCTATGGATATATACATTCAACGTTACATGAATATTTATTCACTTTCCTTCTCAAATACAAATCTATGAATATATAGGCAACCAATATGCATTGTAAGTTCTATCTAACCATTACACATAAACATAATATTACAAAAACATGGTTTTCTCCAATAAGCCTCATTGCATATTGATGATGTTTATGATTCTATTTACTCTTGTTCTTTTTGCATCAGCGTTAGATGATGTCTCATATGCTGAAGCGGAAGCACCAAGACCAGGCCACAGCACCGGTTTCTTACCTCTAGCAGAAAAGCATGTCGTAGTCCACAACGTTATACATACCAGACAAACTCTGAATATACATTGCAAATCTAGTGAGAATGATTTGGGTTTGATCCATATCCCTTGGAATAAGTATTGGGATTTCAGATTTCATGTTAACATGTCGAAAACTACCAGATATCGTTGCCATCTTACCTGGTTTGGAGGCGGATCTCACTTCTTTACTATATTTAAAGTATCGAGAGACGATAGTGTATTTGGACAGATTCCAGTTTGTAAAGAATGTATTTGGGAGGTTGGAAGAGACGATAAAAACCCTATGTGTCGTATACCTCGCGATGGATCAGATCCTTATTGTTTTAAATGGGAGTCATGGGAGTAATGATATTTACTGTATTTTAATAAATGTTACAATAAAATATGAATGAATCAAATAATACATTTTTACAATTAAAAAAATTCTTAACCTACAAAGTAAGGCTATACAGAATCTTTAATATTTTACAAAAGTCAAAGTCAAGACAAAAAAAACTTGTTCCCTAAAATTTATAAATTGTAACATATAATATAAGAATACTCCGAATGATATATTCTTATAGAAAAATATACATAATTCTTATTTTAAAAATAAAAAATTATAACTGAAAAGGAAACCAATAAAATAATTATTCGCAGAATGTACATCTATGGATACATGCATTCAACGTTCCATTAATATTTATTCACTTTCCCTCTCAAATACACATCTTGGTCACATCCATAAATATGGAACCAATATACATTCTAAACAATATTCCACATCATTTACAAAACCATGACTTTCTCCAATAAACTTCATTGCATATTGATGTTTATGATCTTATTTACTCATGTTCTTTTTGCATCAACTTTAGATTTCTCATATGGCTGAAGCGGAAGCGCCAGAACCAAGACCCGCCGGGTGGCGGCAACGGCTTCTTACCTCTAGCAAAATAGCATGTCGTCGTCCACAACGTTGTAGCAAACGGGGGAATTCTGAATATACATTGCAAATCCAGCGAGGATGATTGGGTATGATCTGTATCCCTTGGGATAAGTTATAAGTATTGGGATTTCATATTTCATGTTAACATATCGAAATCTACCAACTTTCGTTGCCATCTTACATGGTATGGAGGCGGATCTCACTACTTTGACATATTTAAAGTATCGAGAGACGATAATCCATCTGGAGAGACTCCGATTTGTAAAGTATGTATTTGTTCTCGTGCTTGGCTTTCAAACTTCCCTACACCAACTGATTTTGGAGGAACATTCAGCATCGTCATCACTTCGCCTTTCTCCGTTAACCTCAGGGTCAATGTCGAGCGGCGGACTGAAAACCTTAATGCATTATGATCTCCATGTTTTTATTTTTTGTCATGGAATCATTTCCCTAGATTTATAACTAACCATTGTAAACCTAAATTGTTTTCATTTTGAATGAAATATTTACCATTTATTAAAAAAAAGAGACAATGAAAATCCTATGTGACGTATTAATCGCAATAGATCACCTCCTTACTGTTTCCAATGGGACGATTAATAGTCGTCCTTAAGAAAGAAAAAATACGATTATTGTTATCACTATATCTTAATACATGTTACCATCAAAACGGAATGAATCAAATTATACATTTTATATGTTCGAATGTTTTAAGCTTTCTTTCTTTGAAGTTGTTTTGTATCCACATAAGTGAAATAAGTTTCCAACTCCATTTGCCCATTGTTTAATGGATATGGTTTTGAGATCTCATGTGTCAAAAACTTGCTGAGCAATGATTGAGTTCAAACAATAATTGTTATTACCATAACATCTTTGTATTATTGATGAAACTTTGGATATAAAACATATACTATCATTTTAGATATATTTAGTCAAACTTCCTTCATTACACTTGATTGGTCCCGTGTTTACCATAACATTTTTGATTGGTTGTGAAAGACTTTTTTTTCTTAATGTACAAAATAAGGCTGTAAAATTAAAATCTATAACATACAAGAACTGCTCCCAATTTCTAAAATTAAAAATTTTATAAATGAAAAGGAAACCAATTAAAAATTATAAGTAGAGTGTACATCTATGGAAACATGCATTCAACGTTACATGAATATTTATTCACTTTCCTTCTCAAATACACATCTATAAATAGGCAACCAGTAGGCATTGTAAGTTCTTTCTAACCACTACACATAATATTACAAAACCATGGTTTTNTCCAATAAGCCTCATTGCATATTGATGATGTTTATGATTCTATTTACTCTTGTTCTTTTTGCATCAGCGTTAGATGATGTCTCATATGCTGAAGCACCAGCACCAAGACCGGGCCACAGCACCGGTTTCTTACCTCTAGCAGGAAAGCATGTAGTAGTCCACAACGTTATAGGCATCGAAGTAACACTGAATATACATTGTAAATCTAGTGAAAATGATTTGGGTTTGATCCATATCCCTTCGGGTAAGTCTTGGGGTTTCAGATTTCATGTTAACATGTCGAAATCTACCAGATTCCGTTGCCATTTTACGTGGTTAGGAGGCGGATCTAACTACTTTGATATATTTAAAGTATCAAGAGACAATAATCCATTTGGAAAGTTTGCAGTTTGTAAAGAATGTATTTGGGATGTTGGAAGAAACTATGAATACCCTATGTGTCGTACATTTCGCGATGGATCAGGTGCTTAGTGTTTTGCATGGAACGGGACACTCTATGATCCCTCTTAAAAAGGAAAAAACAAGATTATTGTTATTACTATATGTTACAATAAAAAAAATGAATCAATCAAATAATACATTTTTTATGTTCGAAATATACAAACCAATAGTTCTGTCTTTGAATTTGTTTCTAACCCCACTTGCCCCTTTTTTAACGGATATGGTTTTGAGCTCCCATGTGACAAATGTTTTTACCTTGGCAACATATTTAGCAACATAATTTCGTCTAGTTAACTAAATTTAACCAAATTTAACAATCCCTTGCTAATTCTTTGGTATTTGCCTTTGAGATACAAATGTTTTGTTGCAATTAGCGAGAACATTGTGAGGTTCAGATTTCACCACTGCTAAGATCAACTGTAAAAAAAAAAACTAAGTATGGAAATGGGCATAGCCGAACTAAGAAAATGGACTCGGAAGCCCAATTGGGGGAGTTGGACACGACGAGATCCGAGCCAAAGGAAACATGCCCAGAGGAACCCGAGTTGAAGGAATTGGGCTCGGTGAAACCCGAGCTAAAGAAGTAAGGATCGATGGAACTCAAGTTGAGGAAGTTGGGCTTGGTTAGACCCGATCTGAAGATAGAAGGCCCAAGCTGGAGAACGTGGGCTCGTCGAACCTAAGATGGAGACAGCCCATATCCACGATGAGCCACGGGAGTCTCCGTCACAATGGGCCAAAGCGGGAAGCCCATAATATCGAGCCGACTTAGAAGCATCCCAGAAGAAAGAAAATTTCCGAAGAAAAATAGGAAGATTTTCTGTTTTTAAAAAAGTGATCCTAACCAACTTAAGAATTCTATAAATATTCATATACATCCCTTAAAAAAGAGATTTGTGATTCACTTAAGAGGGTGGTATTCAATTTAAGATTGATTTTGAAAGAATTGAACATTTTATCAAATTCCGTTGTTATTCAATTATCAATTTTATAAATTTTTTTAAATTTTTGTGTTATTCAATTTACTGGAATCTTAATTCTATTAAATGCTAGTGTTATTCAGTTTTTTTTTGCATTATTTATTGCATTGTAATTTCAAAGGAATTTAATAATGTTTATTACCAGAACATCTTTGTATTAATGATGAAACTTTGAATATAAAGCATACAGTATATCATTTTAGATATATTTAGGGCCCCTATATTTAGTCAAACTTCCTTCACTACACTTGATTGGTCCGGTGTTTACCATAACATTTTTGATTGGTTGTGAAAGACAAAAATTTCTTAGTTGACAAAATAAGGCTGTAAAATTAAATCTATAACATTTTTCACAAGTCAGACTGAAGACAAAAAATAAACTTGTTTCCTAAAGCTAAAAATTTCTTACTCACATCTATATATGGAAACATGCATTCAACGATACATGAATGCTTAATCACATTCCTTCTCAAATACACATCTATAAATAGGCAACCAGTATGCCTTGTAAGTTCTTTCTAACCACTACACATAATATTACAAAACCATGGTTTTCTCCAAGAAGCCTCATTGCATATTGATGATGTTTATGATTCTATTTACTCTTGTTCTTTTTGCATCAGCGTTAGGTGATGTCTCATATGCTGAAGCACCAGCACCAAGACCGAGCCACAGCACGGGTTTCTTACCTCTAGCAGAAAAACATGTCGTAGTCCACAACGTTATATCCATCGAAGAAACACTGAATATACATTGCAAATCTAGTGAGAATGATTTGGGTTTGATCCATATCCCTTATGGTAAGCATTGGGGTTTCAGATTTCATGTTAACATGTCGAAATCTACCAGATTTCGTTGCCATCTTACGTGGTTTAGAGGCGGATCTAACTACTTTGATATATTTAAAGTATCAAGAGACGATAATCCATTGGGAAAGTTTCGAGTTTGTAAAGAATGCATTTGGGATGTTGGAAGAGACTATGAATACCCTATGTGTCGTACATTTCGCGATGGATCAGGTGCTTATTGTTTTGCATGGAACGGGACGCTCTATGATCCCTCTTAAGAAAGAAAAAACAACATTAATTGTTATTACAATATCTTAATAAATGTTACAATAAAAAATGAATCAATCAAAGAATACATTTTTTATGTTCGAAATATACAAACCAATAATTCTTTCATTGAATTTGTTTCTAACTCCAAATGTGTGGTGGCCTAATGGTAACACAATGGGTTGATTTCTTTGTGCCTCATGTTCAAACCTTCTTTGGTAAGGAGGGTTATTCTTTAAATCCGAATATCCAAAGATTGTTTCCAGGTCCTAAAGAGATTATGAGCCAAATGTTCGGAACTCCCACAGTTTAGCAAAAAAA